GGAATCGCTCACTGGATTGTGAAGTGATTATGGATCGAAAGTGGAAAAATTTCAAAATCTGATCTTGAGTTAATGGAGAAACGAGCAAAAGTATTAAAGTATCTGCTAATCTTGAAAGAATTCTATTCAAAATAGTAACCGGTAAAGGATTTTCCAGTTTTACAGCCGATCAATAGAAATCTTTTATCATGATATATGCGACTCCATTGATGTGAGACCTATTAAGCGAGAAAGATCAGAAAATTTTAGCTAACTTTGTAAAGGTTTGCTTCTTACTAACAACACGCATTATTAATGATAATATCTTAAATGAAGCCCATTCCCGATTACTAATAGTTGCTCATTTGGTCGAAGAAAATTATGGAAGGGAAATGATAACACCAAACATTCATTTGTCACTTCATATTACTGAATGTTGCAGAGATTATGGGCCATTATATTCCTTCTGGTGTTACTCATTCGAAAGAATGAACAGCATTTGGGTAAGTTATATACTAATTATTGTAAAAAATAAATTAAAAAATTACAATTACAATTTTATTTAAAAATATTACCAATTACTTTTTTAGGTTCCTTTCTGAATAGTTATCGCCAAATTGAACCTGAATTATTATGGATAATTATGCAAAATTGGCGACTTGACGACCTTTTATCTATCCAATCAAATAATATGAAATTCATTAAAGGTTTGAAGTTAATACAACCATAAGCAACTTTGGGAAGCTTAGCAGCTTATGATAATTTCGAGTTTGCTGAATTTCTTCGATTTAGGCAAATTTATTATCTAGAGACTGAAGATACGATTACCGGTACTGAACCTTTCTTCAGCGAGTTGTTGTATTCTAAAAAAACAATGTCAATTTACCAGACGATACATACAAAATTCTGATAGATTATTATAATACTGCATACGATCTTGAATTTTTATCAATTGCTGAATCAGTACAAAACTGAACAGGATGCTCCAAATATAGAATAGTTGTCCAATCTCAAATAAATCAGTTTGGGCGTATTCAAATTAGGGCCAAAATCTTTGGATTGGCAAATACGCCCTTATATTTAAAAATTCATTCATTATTGCCAAATTTGTGCAAGATGATGGTTCAGTTGAAACATTTCCTGATCAGGTTCAATATTTCTTTGAACATGAGGTTAATCTACCAATAAAGAAGCAGACTCATCGATTGGCTTATGTAAGATGATTCCTACCAACTCCTGATCACCAGACAAGATTTCACTGCCAGATCGATGATGATATTAAAAGTTATAATGTAGAAATTTGGAACAAAAACTTCTATGATATTAGCAGAAACTGTATCATCCCAGTGTACAATATATTTAGCCGATTTATACTTAGCAAGTTTAAAGTTGGCATAAGAAGGCCAGTTACGTATATGGCTGTTATTCCGATAGGAAGACATTTTCATATATGAAACTTGCCCGAAAATATTAAAATGATTAGTAATGTCGACTTTAATCAGAAACACTAATTAATGGATATTTTAAAGATAAAATGTTTAAAACTTTAACGTCACAAAATACAATCAAATCCCTTTGATGATTTTCGTTAAGGTGACTTAACCTCTGAAACTTGAGATTTTACTGTTTTGAAAGTTCCGATTCTACTCGAATTGTGCTAATTGATGTTTCTATATTTGAGCTGAACGCTTATTTGTGATTAATTCATTCATTCTCTTTATTTTACGCTTCTTCGCTTGGCTATCAATTTGTGGTTTATTTCCAGTGAAGACTTGACTTTTTAAAGAAAACTATCAATATATTGTCCATGTCAAAATATAGTTTTGTTCCTTAGATATCATAAATAACTTATCCATCGATACAAAACTGAGA